CTGATTATTTATATTTAGTTTAAATGTATTGCATCGATACCATTAAAAAGCACCATTTATAGGCTGATACACATAAGACCACCAGTATATTGTCCATATATGTCCATAAATTATTTTGGTGTTGGACTACACAAGGGCTACAGCATCTCAAACTGCATCAGGTTCTGCATGCATCTACCATTGATATCTTGCCAGTATCAATAACTACAGATTTCCTGTTTTTGTATGTTTCTTGTGAAAATGGTGTTATGGGTTGGGCAAGGTGTCTTTTGGGATGTCTTATTATATGCAGCAATCAATGCGCTTCACTTTCCCGGGTTGCAGGGTGACTCTTCCCCTTCGTCCACATCTTCTCTCTTGTGTTAATTTGTTTGTGGTAGCAGCATGTCTCCTGATTTCTCCATGGACAGTCACACATAGGCTCACACTCTCTTGTGGATCCTACAGTAGAGATGGGGGAGCCTCGCTTCAATTAGCAGGTGTTAACCTAGTGAGCTGTGAGTGTGTGTTGTTGAGTACACAGGAAGCTTGCCTAAGTAAATTTAAGTTTCTATGATTTCGGGGACTTGGCTTGGTTTCTTGCATATTTTTGTCTCTGTTATCCTTAATGCATCTGGTCTAAGGGGTTATAGGATGGCAAACGAAGATAGCATTTATTGCATTCTTGAGATCTCCTTTCTCTCAAAACTAAGGACTTTTCATGAAAACGTCTTAATTGGTGTGCTGTTGTGAATAAATTCATTGACTCATTATATGAAGCTGTCACCATTGTTTATAGCACTCTTTCCCATCTAATCTTGCTGTGTCCATTATGTCTTTTAGTCCACACCCAGTGAAGCCATTGACACCTCCTGATGAGAAAAGGTCAGAGGGTCGCTCAGTACTAGAGAAGCTTAAATCCACCATCCACTCAGGACGAACAGGCCAGGATGCTGACAAGAAGGTATTGCATGAGTATAAAGCAGTCTGCTTTGTAGATAATAAATTTGCTATTTGAGTAACCAGATCGCATTTAATTCATTGACACTGATGAACCTGAAATCATTTAGTCAGCTTTCACTTGTCATGCACTTGATCTCCTTATTGGCTTCTAAATACAGTGCAATTACAACCTTTTCCGACTCTGATCATTATTTAAGTTAAAGCAATATTACTGCTCTATTTATCTCAAAAGTATTAGATATAATTTTGCCACATTCACACTACAGTTCAAAAGTTTGAGGTTGGCTTTTAATAAAAAATACAGTATATATATTTGAAAAATGTCTCTTACGCTCGCCAAAGCTGCATTTATATAAAAAAAGCAAAAAGAGTAATAATGTGAAATATTATTACACATTTTTAAATGTAATTTATTACTGCGATGCGAAGCTGAATTTTCAGCATCATTACTCCAGCCTTCAGTGTCACATGATCCTTCAGAAATCATTCTAATATGATGATTTGGTGCATTTCTTATTACTGTTGGAATGAAAATTTGACTGATGAACATTTTTAGTAAATGAATTTACTAAAATGACCATGTTTAAATATAAATCAAATTAAACTAGCATCTACTGTTTCAGTAGCACTAGCACTGCTTCTAATAATTCTTTCATTAACATGATCACAAATCAAACATAATCCAGAAGGGTTTTTTTTTTGTTTGTTTTTTTTTGTTTTTTTGTCAACTCCAGAATATTTTTGTGAAGTAAATCTTTTTTTTGTCTTTCTCGTTTTAGCAGCTAGTGGAGGGAGGAGGCACGTACTATCACCTGAACCACAGCGAGCTGGTGAATTTGCTGATCCAGCGGGATACTGAGCTCAGGCAGGAGCGGGAGGAGTACGAGAGGCGAGGGGCGCTGCTGGAGAAGCGCGAGACGGAGCTAAAGAAGATGAAGGTCCTGATCAGAGATCTAGAGGATTACATCGACACGCTTCTTGTACGCATCATGGAGCAGACCCCCACGCTGCTGCAGGTCCGCTCTATGATGAAATGATACAACAAACGCCTCCACTATCCCTCCACGAATCCTGGGTGGACGTCACAACCCTGCACTGCTACAGCAACCATATAAATATAGAGAGCTATGGGCATGGAGGAGAGGGTATAGATTTGATGTTCTTAACTGTGTCCAGAAATACCTGGGTCTATGCTGGGGTCCGTATGGACTGCAGGTTGCATTTGATGGTTAAAGGTCGGCACTCTGCTGCTAAACTTCAAAGCTGGTAGGATCCATTTTGACATGTGTCAGCTAATATTCACTCACTAGACATGTCACTAAGACACATGCCAGTCCAGCTATGTACCAAAACCACCTGTCAATCGAAAGGAAGGCATGACTGTGACATGCCAGTCTTCTAGTGCTCGTGTGAATGGTTTTTAATGCACGAAGAAAAACATCGATTTATCTTTTGTTTCTTCTATCACGTTTTTCTAACATGTAGCCCTCAGCTGCTTGAACCGAGAACAAAAGTTTGGGGTGTTTGAGATCACTTGAAAGTGTGCGAGAGGGAGCGTGAGACGTAGAAAGCAGGAAAGAGAGCAGAATCAGCCAGTTTCGAATCTGCTTGTGCCTCCCTACATGTCTTCCGCACTTTACTTAAGAGCTTAAGGGCTCACACCAACTGACCTTCTCGCTTCGGTTTGTAGATCAGTGTCCTTCCTCTCCCTTCCTTTGCTTGAGCCAATGCACGTACATCGCTGCCAGTGCTTTCAGGTGTAATGAATGAGATATATACTGTATTCATTGCATATATGCCACTCTGACAAAATGCCAAATGCTGCCTTATCATACAGTATTTTCTCCATTCTGTTCTCGCTGAACTCGTCACTTTTAATTAGATTGCACATTATATTACAAAACTAATGGCGCAGGAGTGTTTCAAGTTAAACTTTCCCAAGACTGTTAGGTATCGAGATGAACAAATGGATCTGAAGAGAGAACGAAAGCCATGAAAACAGCAAATGCCAGAAATGATTTGCTCTAAATTAACGTTACAGTATTCTAAATACCGCAACGGCTCTGTTAATGTTACTGTAATGTAATTCTGGTGTTTCTATGGTGTCGCCACTATCAGTGTTGCCACAGTCTGTGTACAATGTAGCACTATATGTAGATGTGTGATAGAGGCATAGGCCGCAGCACTTTTAAACCTCACACTTAGGCATTTACAACCGTTCTTTCTCAACAGCTTAGGAAGTGCACATAGTCAAATGCACACGTTCACTGCACAAACGAATCATCCTCTAAAAACAGGATATTCATGGTGTTTCAGTGCTAGTCCCTAAAGCTCAAGATCTATCAATAACATATTTCTGAGTAGAAGCACTTAAGGACTCGTGTGCTCGGACTGTTGAAGGTGGATTAATGAATGTTCATTTATTAAGGCTTAATGTAAAAGTTTACAATTTTTCAAAAATGTGTTACATTTTAATCATACAAATATCTATTTGTTTTTTTGCTTTGTGGTCAGGTCTTTTGTCATCTTTTCTTTTGGGTGGTCTGAAGGTCTGTACAATCAGTTCATTTATTTTCTCATTTCCTTTAAATGCTGTTTGTGTACACTGATTCGTGATTATTAAGGTCAGTAGTAACAGAAAGCAATAGATGTGAAGGCCAGGCTTTTGCAGAAATTAAGAGATTCATACTTTTTTAGGTCTAAACAGATGGAATGTAATATGAAATATGTGCTTAGGTTGGCACTGTGTTGAACAGCAGTTTATATAAATATTCACCAACACACACACACACAGCCTGCAGCCTAGTAAGAAGGTGTGTTCAAGTGCCCTTGGCTGAATGTTATCATGAGATGTCATGAGATGTGTGTGTAGAAGAAGATTTGTATGCTTTTAATGGTGAAGATGATAATCAAAGCTACATTTTATGTAGTACAAACTCTGGAACTTGCAAATAAATACTTTTGTTTACTATACTACATTTCATTTTATTTTTTAGAAGTCTGGAATGTCTTTTTTTTTTCTTTTAAGGTAATTTAAAACCTAGATATTTTTTTAAAGAATTGCAAAGGGTTTATTTTAAAGTTGTAGAAATGCATCGGTAAGCGGCTTGATGCCCGAATCCTCATTCTTAAGACTATAGGCTCAACTCTTCCTCCTTTGGTGTAAATTTCAGTGGATTCCTGTCACAATCAAAATAAGAATGGCTTAAATTATCCTCACGTATCAAGTAGCATTTAAGCACAGAACATGAAGGGTGTGTTCAGTGGAACCATTTGTTTTAGGTGCAAAATATACCAAGTGCTTCCCTGAGGAGCTGTTTGATTGGATGTTCAGGGTGTAGTAACATGAGTGTCCACTGGAAGTTGTGGTGTATTCTTTTTTTTATCAAATACCTCATCTGAGAGATGTTCAGTCGACTTTTGGTGTGCTGGTAAGCATCTCTGCTAAGAAAAGGTCTCTGTTGATGAAATAAACTTTTCACTTTGGGATGCATCTCTGACTGTCCTTATTTGACGTGAAGACAAAGCTCTCATGCGTCTCAAAATTAAACCACTATTTCAACATTAGTATATTGAGCATTAAATATAGTTGTTTTAGTGATTTTACTTCAACCTAAATCCAAATGGCATTTGCTTCTGTAATAAATAGATGACATATTTAGCTTTCAGTCACACTATTAGTCAAATGTGCTAAAACGATTTAGATTTGCTCACACTGAATTAGGTCTTTCTGATATTTTTAGACCATATAATAGGAGAACATAATTTACAACAAAATTAATATTGCACAGCATGTAGACAAGCTATTTGAGGAATGACTATCTTGGGTAAATACATTACAGGGTATGAATCAAATCACACCCTGTACAGTAACAACAAGGTCATAATAATGACTAAACTGAACCACATGATATAGTTAAGGTGGCTGAAATTACCTAATTTATTAATAAAAGGATTCACTGACGTTCATGGCAACTTTTTAAGCTACTCTTTAAAGTTAATTCATCACACATATCCTTTGACCTGTTAGAAAACGACATTACCCAAAATGCATCGATACGGATGACTCGACCACTCTGAGGGAACTCTGCGTAACTTTGAGATCTCAGTAAAACAGCCTTACTGACTGCACTGTGCATCTGGGAACACCTGCCATGCCTGCATCGACTGAGTGCCCTCCGTTTAGACTCGGCGAGTCTCGGTTTGATCAGGTAAACAACAGCCGGACCCAGTGCATACGAATATGAGACTTGTGCTTTTGCGTCTGCTTGATTTCTCTAGGCTTACTGCAGACGGGGTTGGAGACTGAATATTTCAGCTGAATTGTTTGAGAGGAATCGCCTTTTGCTGCTCAAAAGTGATCCAGTTGACTTTTCTCGCTAAAACCAAATCAAAACCAAACAGTTCACTGCAGTGTTTGCTTCTTCCGCCCTCACTCCTTGTTTAAGTCGCATTAACAGTGACCTCTGTTGGTGACTTAACTGCTTTGTAAAATGTGATAAGTATTAATGTTGCTAGTTGCTTAGAATAAATCAAGCACATTTTATTTAGATTATTGGCAGAAATACAATAGTATAGCCTAAACCGGTGGGTCAGCATTTTAAAGGAATCCTCAAATGAAAAAAAAAGTAAAAAGTTCGAGTTCTCTTAAGGCTACTTACACCCAAAACGTCATATATGGAGCCCGGTCTCATGAAAATGCATATCAATAGCACTTTTTTGTTGTTGGCATTTTACGTGCTATTTATACGCAGAAACCGACTTTGGCGTGCATGCGATACGCGGGTTTTGTATGCATGCACACTTTGTTGGCGTGCATATAATATGCATTTTGGCGTAGCCTACATATACGCACCTACCCCACACCCCTAAACCTACCAATTGCGTATCTTATACACCCCAAAGTCCATTACAATAGTATAGCCTAAACCGGTGGGTCAGCATTTTAAAGGAATCCTCAAATGAAAAAAAAAGTAAAAAGTTCGAGTTCTCTTAAGGCTACTTACACCCAAAACGTCATATATGGAGCCCGGTCTCATGAAAATGCATATCAATAGCACTTTTTTGTTGTTGGCATTTTACGTGCTATTTATACGCAGAAACCGACTTTGGCGTGCATGCGATACGCACGTGTTTGACGTGCATATAATACGCGGGTTTTGTATGCATGCACACTTTGTTGGCGTGCATATAATATGCATTTTGGCGTAGCCTACATATAGGCACCTACCCCACACCCCTAAACCTACCAATTGCATATCTTATACACCCCAAAGTCCATTTTTGCATAAAAATACGCCAAATAGAAATAGAAAATCGTGCCATTAACGCACACATCCATGAGATCGGGTTAGGCCTATATTTTAACATATATTTGATCAAAACATGTTGATAAATAGTTTCATGTAACTAGCGCCGTACTGTTGTTATGGTTAACGTTACCTCGTTACGTTACTTTCAATCTAACTTTTGTGGATCTGTTGAAACATATATTTACTTGTAGGATATGTGAAGAATACATACTTTAGAGACCTTTTGAGAACATTTTTTGACATTCTTTAGGGGTTCAGTTACAGACCCCTATAATTAGCACCCCCTCAATTAATTATTTCCAAGCTTCAGAATCAAGATAAAATGTCGTTAAAACTATTTTGTGCCAAAGCTAGTTCATTAACAACACTGTTCCCTATTGAAACATGTGGGAACATTCACTGCGACAAAAAAAACAATTTAAACCATTTTGTATGCATTAGTGACTCAATAACTTTAACCTCAAAGGAAGAGATAATTTATTTATTCATTCATTTATTTTTTTTAAAGCAGATGATTCACATCTGCTGTTATTGCTCCAGCGGTACCGTCCTTAATACATGTAAAGGACCGTCTGTTAGATGTGATAAACAGAGAATATGTTGCGTGCTGCTTTAAAATCTTGCATTCCTCCTTGCATGCACACACACATTTGAACATTTTAATTGCGTTGGAAGAACTTTTTAGGTCTACAGATCAGCCAGCAGACAGTTGGTGTGCACCAATAATGAGGCGGACACACCTGGCGTGCGAAAACAAATGGAACCACAGATGTCAATAAAGAGCCTTTTTTAAAGAGTGTATTGAAGGTAATGTGAGTAGTATGTTAGCAGAGGAACAAACATCAGCCAATCAAATTCACATGTGTTGTGCAAAGAACTTCAGTTTTCTTGGTAACGTCAGTTACACAACAAAATCAAAGTAAACAAAGTAAAAAAAAGTACTCGTAAACATTTCCCTCTTTTGCATGTTTCTGTTTTTCACAATAGCTTTGGGAGGCACAGAAGATTAAACAGGTGAGTGTGAACAGCGTTGAAAGCCTTTTACAGGTTGCTATGATGAAAGAACCTGCTTAAATCACTCAACATCTTCGTGCGCAGTGTGACACGCACTCACAAGCTGTAGTTCTGTATAGTGGTGTAATGAGAAGAGAATTACGGCTAACCTCAGCATGGTAATTCTCCCATCAGCTCGCTCTCACCTCTTCTTCTCTCTCGTTTCCTCCTCGTCATCCTGTCTGCTGTCTGTGGATTCATTATGTCCTCAGGCCATCATCCATCCAGACACAGGAGAGAAGATCCCCATGCCCTTTCGCATGTCAGGTAAGGGTGTGAGTGTGTTTTCGGTGTGTGTGTGTGTGTGTGTGTGTGTCTGTGTCATGGGTGGTAGGCAGTTTTCTGCTTGTTACCAGCTCTGGAGACTGGAGTTAGGTGGTAGGGGGTCTCTCTGGACCGATCTGTTGGCAAAGGTCACACTCAGCTGGGCTCTGATTAAACCCTCTCTCCCTCCTGCTGTCTGGAAGTGTTGTTGGGCCACTCAGAAATAGTATTGTATAGTATTTTAGTCTTCTCTTAACACCACTAGATAAAGAGAGAACAGATAGACAATTATGATGGCTGCCTCTGAACCATGCTATCTTTTATGAGTAATAAGGATTTTATAAATGTGACCCTGGACCACAAAACCAGTCTTAAGTCGCTGGGGTAATTTTTGACCTGTGCATAAGGCATGGCATATTTTATGTTCACATATATTCTAAAATTATCATTAAAAAGCAATGAAGAAAAGTGCTACAGTGATGTATTTTTATAAGCCAACTCAGACGTTTGCATCACCCTGGTTCCATCAACAAAAACCCAATATGCTTTTGGATTAATGCAGAAAATAAGCTCTGTGAACAGATGGAGGCTGATAGCATCACATAGGCACACAGAGCCCTTTGCTGTATTTCACATTGCTGAATTGCATATCCTTCTAGTCACCTCTAGAGCCCTCTAGAGCCAATTAGCTGCCCTGCTGGGTGGCAGTTTGATGCCCAGGGGCATGACAAGCAGAACCATGGTGACGACAACTACAAATGGCCCCATGCCTGTGAGAAATATGGGAGGGGGGCACTAATTAAAACTACAATCCCTCTGAAGACCCCTGCTGGGAAGGGAAGGGATGTGAATGGGTTTGATTCTCACATGTTTGTTAGACGAGCCTTTAACTGGAGCTCATAGAGATGACCAGAGACCCACAAGGCAAGATGAGAAACAACTTAGCATAGCCTGTCATGACCTGTCATGAAGCCCACTGGGAGTTACGTGCTTTTAAGGTCACTATGAAAACAAATGTGTATTGTCTCCATAACATTTTTGACTTCATTGGTTATATTTATTATATTAGATCAGTTATATTAGAACTGTCATGCTCTATGATTATGTGAGATGTCACTCTCTAAATAAAGGACCGATAGGTGTAATAAAAAGCCATAGCTGTGGCACAGCGGGTGCTCTACACGTGTAAATCTGCTGCGCTCATGGGCACACAGTTCAAATTTCCTCCCTCTCTTCACCTATTTTCCTGTCTGGGCTTTCCTAATACATTAAAGAAAGAAATGATGAAAAAATGAATTAAATTTAAAAAATGAAGTATTATAATAAAACACATACACACACACAACTGTTCAAAAGTTTGAAGTCAGTAAAAAGTTTCTTATGCTCACCAATTCTGCATTTATTTGATGAAAATGCAGTAAAACGGTAATAGCGTGAAATATAACCATTTAAAATAACTAATATCTATTTAAATATATTTTAAAATGTCATTTATATTGCTGAATTTTCAGTAGCCATTACTCCAGTCTTTATTATGAATTATGTGAAAATGAAACAATGAAGCTGTGTGTGTGTGTGTGTGTGTGTGTGTGTAGCTTTAATCTGTCATTCAGAAATGATTCTAATATGCTGATTTTCTGCTCAAGAAACATTTTTTGTTATCAGTGTTGAAAACAGTTGTGCTGCTTAATATTTGTGTGGAAACAGTATATTTTTTTCAGGATTTTTTAATAGAAAGTTTGAAAGAACAACATTTATTTGAAATAGAAATATTTTGTAACATTATAAACTTTTGTAACATTGGTAGTTTCATGTGTCCTTTCTGAATAAAAATATTAATATCTTTGAAAGAAAAAAACTTTTGAACTGTGTGTGTGTGTATGTGTATATATATATATATATATATATATATATAATATGTGTGTGTGTGTATACATTTATGTTTATTTCAAAAACATTACAACATTTTTTTTGTACTTTATTTTAAATAAATTAAATGTAATTGAACATGTGCACAGGTGGGGCTGAATCTTCTTATTAAAAGAGCTGAGCATTTCAGTCCAGCTACAAGAATCCTGGTCCAGAGGTTCATCCCGTTCCCTGCTGTTGGTATGTGCATGTATGTGAGAGCATGTTTATGTATGTGGTGATTTTCTGGCATAATCTGCCCTGTTGTGTCTATGACAGAAATCAAGCATCCTGTCATGTGGTCTTGCTAAATTGCTGATTATTAAAGCATAAAACGACTGAGTAATGCACGATATTAATTAATGCCTACAGTTTTCAGTCCGCTCTTTTGCTGTCTGAAAGCTCACGTCTTTGCATTTGTAATGACACTCAATTTCTAAATGAGCATTTGTTCAGACTTTCATTAAACCGCAAGCGTTTGTTTATTGTTGTGTATTAGCGCGTTGTGTTTTGACTGATCCTGTTGTCAGAGGGAGCTGCTGCTGAAATGTAATCTCAGTGTTCCATTAGCGTTCTGAGGCTCAAACAGGTCCAGAGGGGCTGAGGGAGACTGTCCCACAATGCCTTGGGGATGCTTGGCTGTAATTAAATTGTTTTCGTCCCCCACCCCACCCCTTTAATTAAATCAGCAGGTTCCCCCTCACCTCTCTGGGCAGGGGTAACGGGACCTTGTTAGCTCTCGGCTGCCGCTCTCTAATTGGTTAATTAGGCCTAAAGTGCTCTCTGTGTTAGCACTGAGTTCCCTGTCTCCAGGCCGCCATGTTGTTGTTGTTTTTTAGTGTTTAGTTATGGCAATTAAATGTAGCTAATGGAACGCAGTGGAGACAAAGTGTTTGAAATTTGCCTTTGATTTTATTTTGCATTATTAGCATTTTATATACATTTTAAGTAAAATGCAAATTAATCTTTTTTTTTTTTGTTAACCTCAAAATGACATCTTGAATTTAGCACCTTTATAAAGGGATTTTCATAATGGTTTTTGCCTCTATGGATGACCTAATGCAGGACCTCCTTAATATAAAATTTAGTATGCATTTGTTTATGTTTCTTTGTTCTCCATTTTTGATTGTGTGTGTGTGTGTGTGTGTGTGTGTGTGTGTGTGTCTGTGTGTTTAATTGGCCTGGGTCTGAACCCCTCAGAGGTGAATAGCTATTTACTCAGCCAATTAACTCATCCCCACAACACTGCAGCACTGAACACTGATAACTCACAACACAAGGCCTGTAAATTAAAAATGCTTCAGGCTCTCTTTATTTCTCTTTCTCTCTTTCACACATTATATCAAATTCTAAAATGCAAAATGCACATTTCTGTTGAAGAGTGGGATCGACTCTTCACCAGAATTCGATGGGTTTTATGACTCCTAGACTATGTCGCAACCTCCTCAAATTCTTCCTGCTCTTGATTCGCAGGTGTGTGTGGCTATGTGTGTGTGTGTCTGTGTGTGAGCGGCAGTAAATGGTGAGTTGTCCTCTGCTATGCTGCCTGTCAGCTCACCCTCACTGGCTCTCAATGGAGCAAGAACAGGGCTGCAGGAGGGTCACTGCTTTGAGGGTGGGGCTGAGGGCCAGGGCTATCCTTGATTAATTAGAGCGCTGAGAGGAGTCTGTGTGATATATGTGTGGTGCTTAAACCTTTCACCTGTCTCTCTAGCTGTGTCCGAAAACGAAGACAGCTGCTTTGCTGAACAGTCAGTGACGCCGTTTTTGCATTAAAGTATGAAAATGGTTTCAGACTATCGTGCAAGATGCAACAGTGTCACATGAAGTGATCTAGAGGACATTTAAATGAGCTTTAGACATAACCAAGCAAATATAACTATGATGCTTATTTGCTGATTGAAATTTTACAAATAAAAAAAAGGATGTTTATGAATTTAATAACTTCTTTCAAATGTTATTGTTATAAGGATTGTTACAGGAACTGGCATTATGTCATGTAGTGATTTGTACCGTCAAGATTTTTTTTTTTGTAATATAAAACATTAGTAACACTTTGCTTGAAACCTTTATATACAGTGCATTTTAAAAGTGTTTTAATGCATAAATTATGCCTTCTAATGCACCCTATTATGTATAGTATGATTCATGAATAATTGTTCATATAATGATACGTTATGATACGCTATACTTATCTGTTCATTGTTGCATCTTTAATGCTTTAAAATACATGACAAACAACCAATTTCAGATGTAACAAGGAATCTACAAATATTATGAGTTTTAGCTTTGATTACAATTATTTTTGAAAATATGTATAATGCATTACATAATGAATGCCTTTATAATGCATTATACATAAATGCTTTAAAAAAAATTACATTTAGACTACCTTTGTCATCTAACACCCACTTAAAGTTAATAAAAAAAACTAATAATTTAATAACACTTTTAAATGTAATCTTTAACAAACTAAATGTAAATGGATTTTATATTTTTCTTGATTCTTTTATAGAATTGTAATATCTGCTTTTTCATTGGTTATTGGTCATAACATGAAAATAAATATTGTGCATCCATAATATCATAGGATACGTTTCGTTTAAAGGCAGCAACTGTTGTTTACTACATGTCACTTGAGTTCAGCTTTGGCCTCTTCACGGGAGAGTGACGGATGAGTGTGTTGATTTAGTTAGAGCAGTTGACGGACACGATAAAAGGTCTTTAACATACTTTGATCCTTTCCCTTGTTCCGTTCCTCTCCCAAACATACACATATACACAGAGAGAGTTTCTGGTGGCCAATTAAAGCTCATCATGCGTATGTGTTGATGAAGTCATCATTAGGCAGTCGCTGCCTTCATTAAAGCAGGACTACTCTGGAGGACTCCTGCAGAGCACGCTATCCCACAACCCCCCACACGCACTGCAGCCAGGGAGGGAGGGGGAGGTGTCAGGGAGCAATCACGCACAGCAGTTCTTCGAAAGTGTCCGCGAGCGCCTCTGATAACAAAAATGGCGGGAATGCTCACGGCCTTGCCAATAACGTATGCATTTTTGTGGGTGTTTGTACGTTAGGCTCCCTCTGCTGCAGAAGTGCCCTCGTCTCGGGCTGCCTGTTCACAGCATGGTGTGTCTCTGCACGTTCGGCCTAGCACTGCCTGTTGCCATCAGCCTGTTCCCCCAAAACAGTCAGGTGAGCACTCGCACACGCCTCCCTCCATCCGCTCGCACTTTCTCTCCGTCCCCTTCTCTTTGTCTGCCGTGAAGACGGTTATGGTTTAAAATGGTGTTTATTAAGCTGTTCATCCATATGGTTACTGAACTGCAGACATATGTGCTGCCAACTACTTCTATTCCTCTCCCACCCCTCCCCTCCTCCTCTCCTCTCACTCTCTCGCTCCCTCTTTACACTTTTCCGAGGGTTCCAGACGAACGCTCCCAAAAAACTCCACTCCTGTCCCCCCCCACCTTTTCACACCCCACAGGATGTCTGTTTCAGATTCTGCCTCACACACTCACACACTCATCGCCATCTGTTTCTGAGCAAAATATTGCAAGTTTTGGCCCTGGTTTGGATATTTACCAGTGCTCGCTGTTTCATTTGAGCTTTTTATGATGGCTGAAGTGTCAGTTTTGACTGTGAAAAATGCTCGAGCCTGGAAAGACATGGCACACTTTGAATTCTCATTTGGTGAAACATTTTAAACATCTTAATGACTTAATGATTGCTGTGAATGGTTATCTCACTGTAGCCAAAAGATCTGAATCTTAATGTCAGTATAAAAATAACACTCCATAATCAAAGCAGAGGAATCATATATGAGAAAATGTTATGTTACAATCTTTTCCTGGCACGTTTGTTACCACTAAAGCTAAATTAAATGAACCTAATAGTTAGAGGTTAATGAAGCTATAAATGCTGTCCGTGTATATGGTTGTTTGCATGTACTTGTCATATTTTGACCACACCTGTTTCCTGTCTCTCAGATCCACGTGTCAGAGCTCGAGCCAGAGATCGCTGCTGCAACAGAGTGCAAGATCCTGACTTACAACAAGGGTCTTTAACCAGTCAGAATGCTTGACACCCAGCAACTAATGTCGCTGTCCCTCACGGTAAAACTCTAATGTGAACAGAAAAATGCAAAGCGTCATTACAAATTTTGATTGCATCTCACTGGATTGCTCCTGCTGTGTGTGAATGTGAATCCTCTCTCAGCCACACACAGAGACAGACTCACACCAGCGCTAATCGTCCTCTTGCCATGCACTTGAACGTGGAAGTTGGAAATAGAGGATTTCAGGATATTTACAGCAGTGAAAACAAGTATTCTTTTGAATTTCCCTGTGATGTACTTTAAATTTACATAATTACCAGCCTTCCCATTCAAGCAGTTCTGTATTATCTGACTACAAAAGACTGAAAAATAAATGTAATTGTCTTAAAGCAATGAATAAACAATCAGTTTTGATATTTTAAACAGTTGTAATTGATTTTTTTTTACACATAATTAAATCACCTTTGTGTTATTTTCTTTAAAGGGCTTTACAAACCCCAAATCGTGCTCAAATTGAATAGGAATTAAAAAATAATGATTGCAGTAGCATTTGTAATTGGGTTTGTTTTAAACACAGGATTAAACTACCTTTGTGTTATTTTCAAATAATGCCTGTACAAACCCCAAAGTATGCTCAAATTAAATAGTAATTTAAAAATAATAATGAATTACCAGTAAAAATTGTAATGTTTTTTTTTTTTTTTTACACAGAATTAAAATGCTTTTGTATTATTTTCTTTAAATGCCTTGCAAACCCCAAATAATGCTCAAATTAAATTGTAATTTTAAAAAAATTATAATTCCCATGTGGAAAAGATGTATAACTTACAGTATATATTCTATATGTTATACGTTATAATCTATATTACTTAAATCTTATTTGTTACATTTTTGTAGAACTGTCATTATCATTATACATATTTTATTATGTATTACATCCAAATCTTATTAAATCTTTAAAAAAATAAAAATTATATATATATATAACATACACTGTTGTTACAGAAAAATTATTCATTATAAGTCAGTATTAACTAAAATTGATCAGACTCGCTCAGTTTCATCTACAATGATTTTTTCCCCTTTTTGACATTGGTTTTCTTTTTTATTTGCACACTGCAAAAAGCGCACACTCAGATATACGATAAAATCAAATGCTTTTCTCTTTTGCTTTGTTCAAGAAAATACACAGAAATCCCTTAAAACATTATTATCATGAATTAATGAACAGAAACAATGTACACATTTGTGCAATTCCTGCTTTCTTCTTTTTCCATCCATTTGTTCTGTTGTTTATAGATGATTGTATCTCTGCTTTTATTTGGATGTGTTTGAGTTCCTTTGGCAGGACTGTAAAATGATTCCTGTAAACTTCTATTTTATCGTTAGATCCATCGCTAGAATGAGGGAGTGGACCTGTGTGTTTTTCTACCTGGTTGTCACGGGAACAGATCACAGTGGGCAGTAGTGAGGGGAGACATGACATGAAGCCGCATGTCGAATCATTAACCGTGCAGGACTGCCATACACTGTTGCACAACATGCACATGACCGCATTAATGAGGGTAACATTACTGCTTATACCTTCCTTTCTGTCAGCTTTTTCTTTAATTTCGAAATCAAGAAAAATTTTGTTTTTAAGTCTTTAATTTATATGAAAACAAAGGTTTGCAACAAAAAATGGCTGATGACTTAATATAATAGTACCCTAACCCAGAAGTCATTGAGGTTCCTTTCAAAACAAGCAGCCAAGTATGTTCCACTAGAGTGCCACTCTACATCAACAAGCTTCTGTTTACCTAGCATAGGTTCTCCATTACACCATTACATGCTTAAAGCAGTTCACACTGCAAAATAAATTGCTGTAAGATGTGGTTGTTTATCATAACAAATTTGGTAGCAGCAAGTTTTATTGATTGAACTTAAATCAACAGTAAAAATGTATATTTATTTCACTGAAATAATGTTTATGTACCAAATTACTCAAATCTGTTTGCAATAAACTGACAAACATATTAAAAACAGAGGCGTTTTTAGCCACATAATGAATCAATGAAGTTCATCACGAGTAGCTTTTCCATAAGCTGAGGTAAATACTAATATATATAGAAAGATGCACACCATTATGGTAACCCAGGCACAACACTAAAATAACAGAATACATATTAATTTAACAACATAAGATGTCAAATAAAACCCTAGTGTACATAACTGATATGAAAACACTAATAAACGGTTCATTGTTCAACAAACATTTCATTTCAATGAAAAACCTTCAGGTGTAAACCGAGATTTCTGGGAATGCCAATTTATGTTTTTTTCCCTCACTAAAATATAAGATGATTTGTTCTTTTTTAACTTTTGTTCTCTTTTACGTATTTCACTTTAAAATGAAATGAAATCTCTCATTAGATCATATATAGCAAAGTTACTTACCATTTAACAGGTTTTTATTGTTGCATTTTTAGTCTTTTACCGTTAAACTGACAATCATTTTCGCTAAGACTGTGCAGCTACAGTTTGTACAGTCTTACAAAATGAAATGTGCATTCACACAGTTCTTAGTCTTTCACGTGCATTAACAACCACCCATCTATTTCTCAATCTCTTTCCTTTCTCAAAGAGGAAAGAGTGCTTTTAGGGAATGCATGGAATGTGTGATGTAAAGCTGTAGAGGATGTGATGTGTGCACCTGCGCAGAGGATTGGATATCTGATGGCCTCAAAACAAACTCACCAAAACAATCTTTTTCTCCCTCAGTCTCAATAGACTCTTGTCGTACTTGACAGTGATACTCGGGTGTCATCAGTCTGTGCGTTTCACTCTCACAACCCTTGCTCACACTGCAGGCTCAGGGTCAAATGTTGAGGTGAAAGGTCACCTGCGGGTTCATTTAACACAATCTTCCTCGGTTTCTTTTGACAGGAAGTTAGCACGGTGAGATGAGAGGAAAATTGCCGGCAGGCGTTATCCCTTTGTCTGAGTGTGTGTGTGTGTTTGTGTGTGTGTGTGTGTGTGTGTGTGTGTGAGAAAACATTTTAAAAGGGTAAACTGTTTTTCGTATGATAAAAAAAGGCCATTTACAATCAGTTTTTGTGATATTTTTGCATGGGGGACAATAAGGTGTGAGCTGCTAATAAGATTCGTCTCTGAAACATCTTTATTAATTATGGACATTTTTGATCACGTTTTGCTTGAAAATGAGATGAATGAACACTATAAAGAAGCTAATGTGTAAATTGGCAAACATTCGCTTTAGTTTATGAGTGTTACAGAGAAACCTGCATCAGCCTGTATTTACCAGTAGGCCTACTGAATGACATCACGCAAATCACTCTCACACACACACACTCATCCCGTTACACTCGAACACCATTTCCTACACTCCTTTAGATACAGAGACCATTATTTACACAGACACATACACCCTTGCCTCTATGCAGTGGGTACAGGATGGCTCATGTTAAAACTGGCTGGTAACCTGATTCCTCACATCACTTAACTTATTTCAATCTAGTTGCTATAATTACCTAAATCTGCCACCAGTTTAATCAGCATGTCTTAAAGCATTTGGAACTTCGTATTCGTTTGATAAATGAAGGCAACATCATGTTGAAATGAATAAAAATGTCAATTTTAGTAACCGACTATACAAAGAAACAACAAAATAATCAGAATGAAAAATATTGACTTGTGAAAATGAACTTCATTGTTAAGATTTAAATACAATTTCTTCCAAAAAAAAAAAGAACAAGAGAAAGACACAATATGATTTCTTCTTACAGGTGATGCATGTCTGAAACATTGGATAATTCCAGCAGAGGTATGTTAAACAACTATAGTGTTCAGTCCTGGGTGTAGACCTGTTTAATTCATCCTTAACTCACAACGTGGTTAGGTTCTCTGCAGTTAGGATATCATGACTAATAACATTAAATAAATAGTGCTTTTCTTGGTCTTGTGTGTTCATTTGGGCAGTGTTTAGGTTGGTCTTAGGCGTCAGACATGACATCTATGTCCTCAGATCCGGTCTGTTTGGTGGCAATCCTCCAGCGGTTAATGTGTTGGTTTCCCTTCTTCTTCTGTGTGCACTCTGGGCCCTCTTCTTCCAGCTTCTGCCGCTTATACTTGGTCCTGCGGTTCTGGAACCACACTTTCACCTGAGGGGAGCAGAAGACCAGGACACCAGTGTCATTAAGGTTTTGGTGAGTAGTCTATACGGTTGACAAGTTTAGCCTGTCACTGCTAGTGATAAACCGAGACAGATCGTGATTAAAGCCTAGCAGCACAGTTCAAACGCATGTGTGTTCTAATCGAATCGTTTCAACGCCACAGCTGACACGCGGTCCATACAAGACGTTCGATTGATTCTGTTGCATTTTTTTTTTGTCCATTTTTAATTTGTTTCAGAACTTTGTTGCATATGAAATCCAAACAAACACGAATACGTTATATATTTTAAATGGATTTAAGCACATTTACTAAAAGATCTTGCAAAGATGAAGTAGCCATTTAATGTTTCTCATTGTTTCTCCTTCTATAGTGAAAAAAATGTTTTCTAGCCTAACTGTACATTTCACACATTTCAAGAAAGCAATATATGCTTACCGCCATAAATAGTCGCATTAAGGGAAACATACGGATAGCCAAAAACAACCCCGCAGAAGGTGAAATAAAAAACGATGATTAACCTTTACTTTTTATTTGATTTACTTCTGAACAAATTCACGAGATGCTCGGATCACGAGATCGTGAATCATTTCCCATAAAACATAGGCCTACGCTTAGAAATTAAAGTAAAAAAAAAACAAATATTTTTTAAATCACATATGGCTAGGCTTTATGTGTTAGCCATATTTTACCAAATAAAGCGATGTTAATAATCATATTATTTTACATTATTATTATATCCGCTTGGGCTTCCTCGCGAATGGTCCGTGTAATAACAGCGTGTCCTGCGAGACCTCGCTTCCTGAAATAATAATAATAATGACAATAGGCAGTTTAAATTGCATATAGACGACACGGGACAGCTTCATTAAACCCAGGAATTAAACTATCATTTAAAAGCTCTCTTCGTTTAGCCTATAGATTTCAACAGATGTCAACGCCAATTATCCACTTTAAAGTGTCGAAAATGTGCACTGCTTTAATGACTATTTTAATTTACATATCTGTTGGAATAGTATATGCTATTTAATGCTTTATAATTGTAGAATACTTTAGAATAAACTTCAGCTGTTAACGCACTGCAGCTTGTTTTGGGCGCTTTTTGAGTCACCTCTTCAAACGCTTGAACTTGATTTTTGGAAGTAATTCTGTATTCTCTATCTGACTTTATGACGGAATAATGTTTTAGGGATGTATTTATAACTCGCTGAGA